ACTTGGTAATAATTTGCTTCTACATTAATCGTCACGCAGCTTCCATTCACCTCATACTACAGTCTGTGTTCTGGATGGTCCGTTTTCTGACATCATGACACTCTGGATACACGACAGTTAATATTGAAGCCTTCATCGGATATAACTTGCCGACTCGGAGGTCAACCGCTGCGTTGTTAAAGGTGAGAACTCCGGACATAATAAAATGATTTGTGGCATTTGGCCTACAGGAGATTGTCGGGAATTAAAAATTAGGGCTGCGGTAGATATGCGCCATGATGCTATTAGCCTGTGCATTTCTAAACAATGTGTTTCCATCCGTTGTGTATGAGACGAGCGAGGTTTATACTAATCTGAAATCTAAAACGGAAATTATCGGTCAATTTATCCCCAGGATTGTAAACAAACCTTAAGATGTATGTATCCAATCTGGTGTTGTTTACGTCTGCCTGGCTACGGGTGTACAGGTGAGGCACCCGGTTTGTCGTTGCTGGTCTTGTGGCAGGTATTAGTCCTGTGCCGGCTCTAAGTATGGTCATATTTAGCCTTGGTTTCACGACTTGGCTAGTTATTGTAGTCATGATAGTGTGCTCGTTGTTACGTTCCTTAGCCTCGCCCGTGGTTTTCGTATCGAACTATTCTGCTATGGTTTGTATATGTTGCTCGACAGCATAGCGAATCTAACACGGCATTATACGATGACTTTTTCCTTAGGCCAAGGAGATGCTGCAATGCATGGAAAGTGGAAGTTCCATACAAATGAAGCTGGGTTTCAAAGAATCCATTGCAAAGGAAGTTTTGATTGAAGGGAATTCATTGATTGATCATACTGCCATCGGAGCGGCGGGACGGTGAGCCGAGGACCTCTGCACTATCTAACGGTTCTTACCCCGCAGCAATCCTCGCCTTCCGATTATACAAAGTCGCGAATGAAAAGTAGTCACAATCTCAGTCACGCTTGGGACCAAGCCTGTTCTATCACTCCATGCTTGTCAAAACCCAAAGGGAAACTGAGAATGATTGGATTGGTTTGGGTTACGCTAAACCCGACAGTTGAGTTTTTTACACCACTACCTGAGTATAATCCCTCTAAATATTAGGTCTCGTCTCTTTGTCGTCGAAAGTTCAACTGTCTTTAGTTCCCAGGTTGGTCACTACTGTTGAATAACACTCTGGGCGCGCTTGCATCATTTGCGTAGCCAACATGCCTAGTCCATTCGAATGTTTTATGTTCAGCAAGGTCCTGTTGAAGATGCCAGATGAGTCTCGCTTGATTTTTCTGCACGTAAATGCTTGCAAGAATGGAATCCCTCACTCAGCTTGGCTTAATAGCTTTATCTTCTTGGATGTGATCCATTTTACCTTTGGGTGGATGGCGACAGCCTCGATGTTTCTAATAAATATTTCTCTGCATTTCCCCCTTTTCTCTCCCCCTATTCGGATTTCGAGTTGCCCATTTAATTGCATACAGTTCTTTCTAGCCATCAGTAGAAGTCAGTCAATATTGTAATGATGTATTATAGTATATTTATCATTGACGCCTCATTTTTAAAACTTCAGCACAGGAACCTGCAATTTTAAGAGCGCAATCGGTAACGGGTACTTTTCAGACGATGCTATTTAAAATAATTTCTTCAAATTCTTTCTTCCATTTAGTACGTTTCGATTGTCCTGTTGGTGTTATTGGCCGTTCTAATCATCACCATCGTGGTTGGCGTCCATAAGTCCTGGGTGAGTACAGTCTATGAATATATATTGCCATTCTAATTCTCCCTTATTGCTGCGAGAACTACACAAAATTAATGCTACGGGCTCTACGGTATCTACATGCCTTATTTGCTTCCTGAAATGCTCACATGTGCGAAATAATTCGGTTGCTCCAAGGGATGGTGGCCAGAAGATCCTGACTGGATTCAAGATTTGTGCATGCCTGGTATTGCAGAATTCCACAATTTGTGAAGTATCTTATCTTCACACTGCTGTTTAGTCTATCTAAACTAAATCTTGTCTATCTTGCCCGGCCTAAATCAACTAGGACCTATCAGCTCGTTACACAGACTTAAGGATGACGTTGAGATTCGCCGAATTTGTTAATATTACTCTTCTCTGCCTCGCTGTTTTGACAACTTTTTACTCGAATCTGAGCATAAACTCCATCAGACCCAACGATCTGGAGTGGTGACCGCCGGATTCTGGTGCAATATGTTTCTATTTAATTTTCTCTTTTGTGGTGTAGGCTCATATATAGGGGCTTGGCTGGGTAAGTCCTCAAGATTTTTTCGCGTTTTGTGCCGTGAGCTAATGAACAGTGCATCTTGTTCTATGACTAAACCTGGTCCTTAAAGGACTCAACTATCCACACTGGTTACAAAATCAGTGGCTATCACTTTACCTTCATCAACACATGAAACGCTTCTGATTCCCCGCGGCATTCACTGATCTATCATTTTATCACAATCCGTTCATTCAGAGCAATAGCCAATATGTAATCCGACTAAATAGTATATCATCAAAATACTGGCTGCCTTTTATATCATATGCATTTATCTGCACAAAATGAGCAAGAATTTCTCTAAGATAAACTATAGAATATTGTTTTGAATTCAGCAATCATAATTTTATTTTTTATACGTACTTTTAGGTTAAAGAAATAGTCGAAGATGCCGTCAGGAGTTTATTCGGTTCTGCGTCCCGAGATGTAATCACTCGCATCGAAATTGAGGTATTTCATTTATCGTCTTGTTTTTTGGCTTTATTTATTGTGAAAGTATCTAATGATGACATTCATGGGTTCATCATCAGAACTCGGCATTATTTTCGTCCTTGATTTGTGTTAAACCCTCCACTTCTGCAAAAGAATCTAGAACTTGCAAAAGTGTACTGTCACCAACCCTTTGCCTAACATTTTCATTCTCGGCACTTCGCTGGGTCTGTCCACATTTTTTTGTAGGCAACAATTTGTTAATTTTAGTATCAAGTTTGCTAGGCACCGTTAATTAGGGATGAATTAGTGCGCTTCATCCAGTCTTTCCTCACATTCCTTTTGCAAGCGAGTACCCAGCAAAATGTGCACTTTATGTTCACACCCTATTACGATCTTTGTGGGTAATTTAATTATTGGGCATAGTGCACCTCAAGTAAGGGTAAAAGCGTTTATCACGTGAATTCACGAAAGTATGCAGCAGAGTGAAATTTTAAGGTTCCATGTATTTGGGGCAAACATAACAGGCCGTCTCATAATAAGGTATCCTTTTGCAGCCTCAACGTGTATCCAAAACTCGCTCCATTCGAGACTATCTTCGCCACTACAACCGACACGATTGCCCATTTTCTTTAGATTTTGCAGGCCACTACCGCTTTTCCCATGATGAACATGTGAATTTGGAGCCAAACATGTTATATATTTGAGGATCGTGTGCATATTTATGGGCCAGTCTAATATGCGATCATGTGGCTTTCACTTTACGGATCTCATTTCCTGAGTTTAAGTCGAGTTATGCTTGCTCGTCAGCTTGAAACTATTGAACAACTGGATTAGTTGGGAATTGGTTGGATACTAGAACAAGTTGATTGATTAGTGCATGTCACGATGTAGTTAAATAATGGGGGGGGGGAGAAATTTGTTCATATAAATCGGCCATCTCTTCATTTGATATTTATTGTGGATTAGGGCGCGTGCAGTATGAAAAGTAGCTTAAAGTGTTCGAAGCATTTTTACTCATGATTTTTCGCAAAATATTCCTTTTAGGAAATTTCCAATTTGCCTCAATCTTTGTATTCTACAATTTATTACTTTATAACGTAATATGCCTTCTTTTTATAAACGGTTTCTTTTTTTCAGTTTAACTGCTGTGGCGCTGATGGATTTTCAATTCGAGGTCAGCATTGCAACCTTAACTTTTAATAGGATGGTAGTGCCATTTTAGCAAAATCTAAACTGAATTGGCTAGCAAAGTGATTGAGTTGGTAAAGACTGCGTGCATTTCTGTCTGTACATGATTGTGCCCCGCGCCGCCAGTCGACGCCCAACTTGCGTATCCCGGGAACTCGACTAGATTAGTTATCAACGAAAACGTCGTCTGCGGTATCTTAAAGAGCTCGACTAGACGATATTTTCTTTCAAAATCTTTTAGGCTCATCAGGGCAAATCGCAAGGAGTCGCACATCTGACCACCACCAGGATTGCCCAACTTCAGAAGCTTGTCGGTCTTTTGTAACATCACTAAAAAGGATGTGTCCCCAAGTGGCGAAAAGTCTTCTGGTTCGGCTGTTTCATATGTATGACCATAGGCCATTGAGGGAGTTATGTAGGTTTTCCAAAGACTCATTAAATGCACCAAGGTGCAATTGGATTAACTCTAATCTTATTTAAAACACATAGGATGCCTTCCAGAGTAGCGCTACAGAGTAAATCTAAAAGTTACTTGCATAGACACCTTTCCTACGTACTTTCGTAAAATCTTCGATGATTATTTAGGTTTACCAGATGTCGCTCAGATCAATTATAACATAGCTTCCGACCTCCCATTGGCAAGCATCCAAACGCAGAGTGCTCATTCGAGAACGCTTCCCGATGAGATCAGTGCCCGCGGGCCTGCGAATTCCACAATAGGGGGCATAGGATACCTGGAGTCATGAAGGTCTAGTTTTATGCAAAACCAGATTGCTCTTCGCTCCTCGCGACCTTTGTGGGTTGTGGTTTCTACTACCAAAGCTTAGCCAACCTTGTCTTTTGAGAAGGTCCTCTAGTTCTAATCCTAAACTAGGAGCAATCTCTTCAACTGGTACTCTGAATACTCTAGGCATGTGGTTCGGGCTTAAATTCATCACATGCGTTGTGGGCCATGGCTTGTCTTCCAGCTGCCATTTCTTTTCATATGCGTCGTCACTGAGGCCGGAGTGGAGTTAGCTCAAAATTCGATCTCTGTGCATTCTGTCTTTGGTACTACTAGGTGCGATGTTTTTGCTTTTTTTTCATTACAGTCTGGTTACTTGGGTGTCAGTCATGTAGTTTTTTCATGTCGTGGATTCAAAATACACCTTTCTCAAATCTCTACTAGATAACTACTCTCAACCACTCAGCTTAGGGAATCGAGAAATATGGCACTTTTTTTAAATTTTGACTTTATTTTCTGTATCGTAAATTTCAATCTACCTGTATGTTGTGCTATATTCTCTTGTTTTCTGTTTCACTTTATTTTAGATATAGCGTGCACTAAAAACATAGTAAGTCACTTCTCCCTTTGCAAGTATTTATTTCCTGGTTGTGTAATTTTTTCTATAAACTCTGTGATGGATTTCTATCAGCTACCTGGAATTGATTGAGCTTATCTGTATATAATTGCTCCACAATAGCTTTATTATCCTACACGACGTGACCGGCATCACGTCTTCGTTATTGAGAGTTCAGACTATCTCCATTTTTATCTATACCCAAATTATGTACATGCATGGACAGTAAGTATATCCAAAACACTATGCCTACTTACTGAACTTCAGTTGATCCTTCGTCTGTCCTTTTCCAAACATTATTAGTGTGACTTTCCCGTTAAGCCTAGCCTTAAAGGACTTATTTAGGATGGTTGAGTTAGTCCACCTTCACCAAATATAGGAAGCCAAAATTACCTTACTTTAGTTCCCTCATGGACATTACGGGACATTAGGTGTTTTTATATCTACTCGAACCGTAATCAATTCAGGCCATCATAACTACTCTTGGCCTGTTCTTTATCGTCCGTGTCTAAGCTGCATCGGTACTTGTATGATTTTATTGCTAGATTGTTTTTAGATACTTTTTCTCGGGCATTTTCTATCGGGCTTATCATGACTAAGATTCGGGTTGTTTTTACCACCAAATGGGACGATTCCTGCCGCATGGATCAGCTTAAAAGTTTCCAGCTTACTCATCCTTGTTAAGGATAACTATTTTATTGTTTATATTAATTGATATATGC